TTGTGAAAGCGAAACTACTTTGTTTGACCTTCCAAAAGAGGACACTACTAGAAATCAGTGGTAAAGTTGTATTTCCAACACTGTTCCAGAACAGTTTAACCCAAATATTAAGATGTGTGCAGCACATTTTATGGAGGACTGTTTCCTGATCCTGGTAGAGTAGACTACAATGCCGGCTGTTCTGACTCACAGACTGCAAGTAGATTTTTTTATATTTAAAGAATTTGCCACTTATGATTCAAACGACAGTTTTTTGAGCAGTGTAGAGTAGCACTTGTTGTTTGTCATTTCTCCGATCACAAATGCAGACATGGTTTTATGTTTACGCGGCGCGATGCAACGCATAAAAAGACAGTACAAGTCATTATAATCCGTAGTTATGTCCCCACTGGATGCAACAAATGCCTCGTTTATAATGGGTTTTAATGTTATTTTGTCTCGTCGCTCCGGCCGGACAGGGCAGCACAATATGGTAGGGGCGTAACATTTCCGTCACACGCTTGAGGTATTCGGCCAATCACAACGCAGTGGATAGCTGGCCAATCAGAGCACACCTCGCTTTTCAGACGATGAGCTTTGTAAAAACCTACGCATTTCAGAAAGGTTCAGAAAATAATGTGTTTTTTTTTACCTTAAACCGCATAAACATATTTCATTACACCAAATACACAAAATAATGTTTTTTTAGCAGCATCATATGACCCCTTTAAGTAATTTTACAATTACTGTACTTACAGTAACTAAATTTAAGTATCTGTACGTTCGAGTATTTTTATTTTGACAAACCTTTACTTTTACTTCACTACATTGTAAAAGCATAATATTGTACTTTTTACTCCACTACATTTCATAAAGACATATCGTTCATATCGAACTGAAGAAATTTACCACCCTCTCTGAGACGCAAGAGAGAGGTCCGATTTGTGAAAGAGACGATTCTTTCCAATTAACCTCCTGAATCTGTTCACAAATCACACTGAATGATGAGAATGATGGCTCAAAATGAGCCAAAGAATCGGGATATTGTCAGAGCTTGAATGTGCATGCGACTGATGGCATAGAATAAATAAACATGGTTCATCGATCAGTACTTGAATGTTGATCCAGAAACATCCTACAAGGCAAGCAATTGTAAACACATTCAAGTAGTAGCAGAGCATGTTTGAAGCCAAATTAAATGCTGCAGTTTTCAAACTGTCTGGTGGACACATCCATGACCTTAATATCTCCTCCATCAATATCGGCTGATCCGATGCACTTGAGTTTCTCATCTGTCCAGTAGATTCTGTGATGCAGGGAGTCCACCGTCAAACTGACCGGCCATCGGAGAGAGTGACTGACCAGCACACGTCTGTCTGAGCCGTCCATTCCTGCTCTTTCTATTTGAGCCTCGTCCCCAGTTTCTGACCAGAACATAATTCTGAAAGAAAGACAAATATCAGGGCTCTAATATCTATATTTTATCTATTATCGTTTTTCAGTTACCAAAATGATTATGTATTTGTAGTTAACAATAACAACACTGACCTTTAATGAAGGTTCCTTTGCTCTTCTGATCCAGTGACAACCATTTTATGTGGTCTGTGTCGAGGCTGATCCAGTACACTCTCTGCTTCTGCCAGTCGTAGTCAAGTGAAAGGACAAACTGCTTCTCTGACGATAGCAGGACGTCCAGACTGGAGCTCCTCAGACCCAGCAGGAAGACCTCAGGCTGCACAGACGCCAGCAGGTACGGCTCACCTGAGACAGGAACACAACTTTCAACTACAGTCTCAGCTTGTGTAAAGAAAAGGATGGATGTACCTCGAAGTGCATGAGTGTATTAGAAATTGCATTATATTGTGAAACTGCATTATAAAGTGCATTATATTGTCTATTCAATCCATACTTATGATCTGAACACTCATGTGAAATATTCTAGCCCACAATGCATTGCACACTTAACCTTTCACTTGCAGTGTAACAAATGACATCTCTTTTTAACATATCATTGAAATGCTAAATACCTTAATTTTTTTTAGATAACATGTAAAATGTAGCATACTACTATTTGTTGCACAATGCAAACAGTCTGACCATTCTTGTAAAATATAGAGTGTATACTGCTCCGTATGCAAGCCATTCCGAACATGGCCTATGTTTTACAACCAGAAAAACATATATTTGCTCTTGCTTGTAATTTGTATACCTGTGATTTTGCAGCTGTGGCCATCAGGTTCCAGAACATAGCCGTGACTACATGAGCACTCAAATGAGCCCTGAGTGTTGATACAGTGGTGTGAACAGAAGTCTGGATGGTCCACACACTCATCCACATCAACACACACCACACCATCATCTACAGGCTTGTAGCCGATCCTGCACCAACAGCGCTATAGAACGAAGATAAAAGCAGTGACAGGAAGCACAAAATGGTAAGCAACTGCTTATTAATTGCGTATTAATAAGAGGCCAAACACCAAAGTGAGAGAGGTTGCATCTGATACTGGTTTACTATACAGAAACAAAGCTTATTTACATAATTTCTTGAATGCAACCAAGCAGTTTGGGGCTACTGCCATCAACTGGTCAACATTGATAAAATGCTTTTTATTTTTGCCTTTTAGACTCATCAGAGTCATGCAGAGTATTCATCAAATTTATTGAAAAGCTTATCCTATAAATTCTTATCAAATTTGGGTTATATTATCGGTCTAAAAATTATTTTCCAAAACTGATTTTTTTTGGTGGGGGGGGGGATATTTGGTGTAACGGATTAACATCCGACACTGGTCAATGGTTGTAAAAAAAATTTTTTTTTTAGAAACTTTAAAACCTAAAGTCCTAAACTTGTTAACATACACAACCATTCAAACATTTGGTGTCTGTAAGACTTTTTTTTTTTTTTAATTTTTAAACAAATTACTTTTTTTTTTAACGCAAGGATGCATTCAATTGATTTAAAAAATGACAGCAAAGGCATGAATTTCTATTCATCAAAGAATCCTAAAAAAAACTATCACTGTTTCCGCGAAAATATTAAGCAACATTGAAAATAATAAGAAACGTTTCTTGAGCAGCAAATCAGTATATTAGAATGATTTCTGAAGGATCATGTGACACTGAAGAGTGGAGTAATGATGCTGAAAATTCAGCTTTGCATCACAGGAATAAATTACAATTTAAAATCTATTACAATAGAAAACAGTTGTTTTAAATTGTAATAATATTTCACAATATTACTGTTTTTACTGTATTTATTTTTTTGTTTTTACCCAAATAAATGCAGCTTTGGTAAGAGACGCCTTTCAAAATATAAAAAAAAAAATCTAACCACCCCAAAATTTTGAACTGTAGTGTATGTTAATATTATAAGTCAAACTTTATATGACTGGTAGTTTTTAATATTCAAGACATTTTATAACATTAAAACAGAAAGAGGAAATCATACCGTGCCTGTAGGTGTGCTATGGCAGTCCTGTGCACACTTTGACTGTTCAGAGCATTTGTCTGTCTGGCACGTCCCGCCCTCATCAGAACCGTCCGGACAGTTAGTGACTCCGTTACAGAGCTGAGACGTGTCCACACACTCCAAACTACCACACTGGAACAGATGAGGAGGACAGGACACACTCGGACCTGTCAAAACACAGACCAGAGGCTCATTTACTGCAGATCAGATCAGATACAGACATAGGTAATCTTGGTGAATGCTGAAAATTCAGCTTTGCATCACAGGAATACATTACATTTTAATATATATTCACAGTTCTTTTACGTTAAAATATTTCATAATATTACGGTTTTAATTGCATTTCTGATCACATAAATGCAGCCTTTCAAAAACATTTTAAAAATCGTACCAACCCCAAATTTTTGAATGGTAGATTTCCTTAATTTTAGTCTATACAAATGTCCCGCCAATTATTCCTGTGGAGTGACTCACGAAATCCATTTCTAAATGGGGATTCTTGAAAAGTGTTGCTAATCAGAACCCCAAACACATTTTTTTAAAAGTTAAAAAGTTATAATAAACAAAACACTTTTTACTTCTGTAATGTGACGCATTTATGCAGAGCCAATCGGCCCTATACGCTCACTACGCAAGTTGCGTAGGGCCCCCGTAAATTACGCAAGGCCCCGCCTCCCCCTCGTGTCAAAGCAGCGCGGCACTTTCAATCTGCTGCAGAGACGAGGAAAAATAGGAAAGAAAGTGAGCAAGATAAGGGTAAGTGATGGATTTTATAAAGCTGATGTTGAAATGGTGGCTGCTGCATTGTGATTTGTCGATTTAATTCGACATTTC